CTACGTATTGGGTTAAACCTAGATTTGGTGTTCAAACTATATCTAGTTACCCACCGCATTTACCTCATATCTTACTGTCAAACCTTGGTAACTCCCAAATTGGTTTATTCAGGTAATTGGTCCTTGATGGTCTCTAATTTGGTGTGCCTGTTATTCGAAGTATTTTCTAAACTAGTATACTCCTTCTAATAGGTGGCCTCTCTTTCACGTTTCTCAAACCTAGTGCTCGGCATAATTAAATACAAACTTGATATCAAATACTTAGCTAATTACAAATCGGATCAGTTATTATACATATATACTAATTATAGTATATATATATATATACGTATAATAAATAATACATGTAGTACATATATATAATGAACTGTTGGTTCTGGCTGTTAAAACAAGTTCGCTATATAAAATTACTGTTTTTTAAGAAACTAAACTTTTCATTATAGAGAAATTTGGTATAAAGAGAATTTACTATATACAAGACTCAAGTCTGTTTTATTTCACCTTTTAGTAGATTCTAGGTTTAATATGTATATATTCGAAATTTTTCTTTTAAAAAAAATTTTAAGACACTACAACTTTATATTTAAAAGAATTTTATGATTTATAGCCAGGTCTAATTCATGGTGGGTTTGAAATCTTGTATATACACTTTTATAGGAATTAAACTGACTGACTATTCTATTTTCTAGCTAAAACCAACCACTCTCTGAGCAATAAAATTATTTGAATCAATTATTTAAAATTTAATTTATATATTTTTTACTTATAACTACTTAAAAGATATCACAAAATTTACATAAAGAAGCAGCTACTCAGGCATCTCGATGTGTGAGTAGTAGTGCTAGACCACCACTAGCTTTTAATTTTACTGGGGATATACCTCTAAGTAGTCGTCACAATACTGACAAAGAAGACATGCGGAGTGAAACTTCAGCAAATATCATCGATTTATGGACTTCTGCTGGCAGTAAGAATGCTGAAGATGGAATTTTGAAAGAAATAAATTGGAAAGACGAAGTTTCAAACTTATCATTAGTTAAAAACAACTACCCACTTATTTACTCATTGGTTTAAAACTTAGAATTAATATTTAAAATATAAAATATTTATAAAATTAATAAAAGTCTAATTTTGTATAAAAATTTGTAATAAAAAACCTTATTTATTTAATTATATGTATTTTATTTTTATTATTCTTTTGCATAATCTAATATATTATATACACACTTTCTGATTCTAATCCTAATATATAACTAATTATCCAATATCTTATACTCCAAATTGTTTTATTTATACTAATCATTTTATCACTTATTAATTGGTGAAATTGAAGTCAGCAAGTTGAGTTCACAAACAGAATATAAATACTTATTTACTATCAAATAATAATTTCATTCGTGTTAATCATCTTATTCAGCCCGTAATTATAAAGAACATTTATTAATTAGTAGAATTAAAATCAAAAAGTCAAGTCCACAAACCAAAAACATAAATGCTTGCTTACCATTATACAGTATAATACCCTTCAATTATTTCATTCGCACTAATTGTCTTATTTATATAATTTGATTGTGATATGTACAATATACATGCTCAAATTTAAGCTTAAATAAAATTTATCTTTAATACCAATATTTTACTTTATATAAATCTCTTGTTATTCTAATTCCTTTTTGATAACATTCTGCAATTCTTAACATTCCACTAGCAAGACCTATCTCTGCAGATTTTTGATACAAAATGAATGCCTTATATTCTAATTTTATTTTGACAACAGATATCAACGAAAAGTATTTTACAAGAATTATTTATTTTTGCTAATTTTTGGCTATAGTTGAATGCTTTGTATTTGTCGCATCTAAAGTAGCTACTTTAGATAGATCACTATTTTAGATGAAACATGTTCATCCTTTTCAACCCATTTAAAAAGTTAATAAGTATAAAATTGAAAAAAATAGATTTTTGACAGAAATATAATACCTCAATTGCTTTCTCGAAGTTAGTCTTTTTTATAACACCTACAGCCGCATTGGCGATTAAAATTAAAAAAATTACAATTTGTTCTATGAATGCAGTATCATGTTCTTTAGCTTTTTCAGGTAAAGCCAGTATAAAAGATATCACTGCAGAAATTAAAAGATTTATAACAAGTTGATCTTTGAATTGTTCTATAATAAGTTCTAACAAAGAAGTTTGTATTTCTTGAGAAATCTCTAATGAAATAACAAATTTTGATATATTTAGCTTTCCAATTAGGAACCCCACAAAATGTGATTTTTTGATAACATTACCATTACACAATCAGGAAAATTCCAAACAAATGTTTGCTTTGTTAAAAAAAGTCAAAAATCACATATTTCTTGAAAATAAACATAAGAAATCACCTTTTGTATCTTAATAAAAATTTTTTTCGAGGAATTTTACTTTATATTTATCTAACATTTAACTCTAAAATAAATGCTAATCCTAACATAAACAAACTTTAAAAATTTTATCGTTAGTAATATTTTGTGAATACCCTAAGGGCAGTAATCATTATATGAACGATCACACATAGGATCACATACAAGATCATTCTATCACTAGCATTATCATCATGCATGACCACTATCATGATTGTTATATACTAGTATTATAATTATGCACAAACATTATGCGTGATTTTTATGCGCTAGTATCATCATTGCGCAAGGCCACCATGTGCGAACATTATGTATTAGTATTATCATTGTGTACGATCGATATGCATGATCATTATACGCAATAGTTATACAAAGAAATTATGAATGTGATATGTGGTATGAATTAAAGGCAGGCAAATATAAATAGAGTTAGAAAGGTTTCGAACTTTTTATAGTTTCAGATTAAAAAATAAAAATCACTTTAAAATATATATTCTTACAAATTATTTTTATTAATAAAAAATATAAACATTACACCTTAATACTATTATAATTCCAAGCAATGATCTCTAATATACAGGTATCTACCTCTAACATACAAACATCTCAAATAATTTCTATAAAAAACTTTTTCGAACCTTCGATTGAAAAAGATAGAAAAAAAAAGTAAAATGCAAACAATACATAAAAGACAATTATCTTACCTTAAACAATAGTAGCACCACCAACTTGCATACTCATATCTCTAAAATCTATAAAATCAATATCTCAGAGGCAGCCAGTTGGAGAATTTTATACTTGTAGCTCCTAAGTTAAATGAATATATCTTTAGAGAAGTGTTGGTCAAATAGATTGCAATAGATAATTTTCTATTTACTGCCATTGAATCAGAAAGCTTTCAGGAGTTATTTGAAGCAATCAGAAAATTATAAAGTGGTGTTACTGTTCCTTCTGCCAGAACAGTAAAACGTGATTTATTAGAAAAATACTTAATATTAAAAGTTTTTTTAAAAAGCACACTAATAATAACTTAAGTAAGATTTCTCTTACAACAAACCTCTGGACTAGCAATAATTGTAATGCTTTCTTAAAGATTACGGCGCACTAGGTAGACGAGGACTGGAATATTTAATCTTATGTACTTGATTTAGCACCTTTTGAAGGATCCCACACTGGGGTAAATATAGCAAGTGCTTTAATTAGTATTTGTGATGATTTAAGTATACAAATAAAATACTTGGAATAACAGTTGATAATGCATCGAATAATAACACATTTCTTGAAGTATTCGAGTCATTTTCTACAAATATTAGTGGTTCATTTATTAAACGGCAAGGACATGTTCATTGTATTGCCCATATTATTAATATTGCTTTACAAGACTTTTTACAATATCTGCATTCAGAAACACCAGATCAAGAAGGTGATGAACTTAATAATTTGAACCAAGCCAATATTCCTAATATCCCTCAAACCCCAACAATTAAAAAACTTTGAAAACTTATCTCTAAACTTCTATCTTCACTACAATGTTGACAAAAATTAAAAGAATTGTGTAGATCTCTCGGTATACAATATAAGAGTCCAATTCTTGATTCAAAAACCCAATAGAATTCAACTCTTGATATGATTGAGCAGGCTATTGTTATGGTACTGGCAATTGATAGAATAGTTAACAAAGTCTTTGAGTTAAATATATTTGGTCTTTTGCCAGGAGAATGGAATATGCTAAAAGAAATTTTATTACTTTTAAAAGTTTTTCATGATATATCTGAGGTAATGTGTAATGAATCCTATGTGACAATGCCTCTTGCCATTCCAGCATTTAATTTAATTATGGATGACCTTGAAAAAATGCAAGAAAAAGGATTATCTTCAATAATTAATGAAGCTATTAAAGTTGCATATACAAAATTAAAGTTTTATTATGCCAGAAGTGATAATCCTGTATATGCAGTGACAATCCTTTTGGATCTGAGATTTAAAAAGCATATTATGAAGTAAATAATTGAGATAAGAAATAGATTAGTTGGGCAACTGGATGTCTAAACGAGGTATATAATTGATATAAAAATACAGTACCAGTAGTAGATTTGGAAATTAATGATATTTCTAGTACTAGTACTCAGCTTAATCATGTTTTCAAGAAGTTTCATCTTACAAACACAGATAAAATTAACTTATATTTAGATAGTCCTGTTGTAGATCCTTGTATAAACATATATCAGTAGTGGAAAATGCATACTACACAGTTTCCAACATTAGCACTTATTGCACGTGATTATCTTGCTATACTAGCAACAAGTGCTCCATCTAAGAGACTATTCTCTAAAGGCTCGAGTATAGATACTAAAAAATGTGGACCGCTAAATCCGGAAACAATCCAAAAAGCCATTTCAGTTTGTGATTCGATAGATTGAATTGTAGTAAATATAATTACTAGTTAAATAAATGTGTATTACCAGTCATGCAGCTGCTATGCGCTGAGAGTTTTTTTGTGTATCTAGTTAATGATAACCAATTAATAATAATATTTTTGTTGTACATACATTTTACTTGCTATAAGTTACTAGAAGTCATATTTAACTAAAATTTGGCTATTGAAAGTAGATCTTGTATAATTAGTAGTAAGTCTAGTCAATTATGATTTCAGGCAAATACAACTCAAGCACAACAAAATTAGCAGTTTTCATTATTAACTATACTAAAGCCCTTAAATCAAATAACAATTTAACAGAACTCGAGATAAATACAAGATGTTCTTTATTATCAAAAATCTTCATAAATGGGTGATACTAATAGATCGTTCTAGATTGGATATTGTTATCAGATTGGAATTGGTGTTGAAAGAATAAATATAAGGTATTCATTTTGTATCAAAAATCTGCAGAGATAGGTCTTGCTAGTGGAATGTTAAGAGTTGCAGAATGTTATTAAAATGAAATTAGAATAACAAGAGATTTACATAAAGCAAAATATTGATTGGTATTAAAGGTAAATTTTATTTAAGCTTAAATTTGAGCATGTATATTGTATATATCACAATCAAATTATATGAATAAGATAATTAGTGTAAATGAAATGATTGAAAAGCATTATAATATATAATAGTAAGCAAACATTTATGTTCTTGGTTTGCGGACTTGACTTTTTGACTTTAATTCCACTAATTAATAAATGTTCTTTATAATTACAGACTGAATAAGATAATTAGTGTGAATGAAATGATTGAGGGGCATTATACTGTATAATGGTAAGCAAGCATTTATGTTCTTGGTTTGTAGACTTGACCTTTTAACTTTAATTCCACTAATTAATAAATGTTCTTTATAATTACGGCTGAATAAGATAATTAGTGTAAATGAAATGATTGAAGAGCATTATACTGTATAATAGTAAGCAAGCATTTATGTTCTTGGTTTGTGAACTTGACCTTTTGACTTTAATTCCACTAATTAATAAATGTTCTTTATAATTAGTGTGAATGAAATGATTGAAGGGCAGTATACTGTATAATGGTAAGCAAGCATTTATGTTCTTGGTTTGTGGACTTGACCTTTTGACTTTAATTCCACTAATTAATAAATGTTTATAATTACAGGCTAAATAAGACAATTAGTGTGAATGAAATGATTGAAGGGCATTATATTGTATAATGGTAAGCAAGCATTTATGTTCTTTGTTTGTGGACTCGACCTTTTGACTTTAATTCTACTAATTAATAAATGTCCTTTATAATTACGGGCTGAATAAGACAATTAGTACGAATGAAACAATTGAAGGGCATTATACTGTATAATGGTAAGCAAGCATTTATGTTCTTGGTTGTGGACTTGATCTTTCAACTTTAATTCCACTAATTAATAAATATTCTTTATCATTATGGGCTAAATAAGATAATTAGTGTGAATGAAATGATTAAAGAGCATTATACTGTATAATGGTAAGCAAGCATTTATGTTCTTGGTTTGTAGACTTGATCTTTCGACTTTAATTCTACTAATTAATAAATGTTCTTTATAATTATGGGCTGAATAAGATAATTAGTGTGAATAAAACAATTGAAGAGCATTATACTGTATAATGGTAAGCAAGCATTTATGTTCTTGGTTTGCGGACTTGACTTTTTGACTTTAATTCCACTAATTAATAATGTTTTTTATCATTACAGGCTGAATAAGATAATTAGTATGAATAAGACGATTGAAGAGCATTATACTGTATAATAGTAAGCAAGCATTTATGTTCTTGGTTTGTGGACTTAACTTCTGCTTTGCCTTTATTCATAATGTCCTTTAAACATTTGAAAAACTTTTTTGCAAATATTTATTATTATAATAAAGGCTTAGAAAAAGTTAAAGGCTTCTATGAGTACTGCCAAGAGAAGTAAAACTTTAGGTTTTCAATTTATTAATCTAGTAAATAATAAATGATAAGTTAAAAACCCGAAGTCTCATTTTTCTTTAATAATACTTATATTTTGCTATAATCCTAAAACTAAAAATAGATCTCACATTCTAAGGCTTTACCAGAAATCTCTCCTCACTGTAAAAAAAAATATCTTGTTCTTTCTTATTAAAATATTTAAATCTTTGCCATTTAAATATAGTTCGTTTTATTTTTCATACGTCCGTAAGGCATGATGTAAGGAAAAAAATATTAATACATAAATTATAGACTTTCTTTAGAACAAAAAAAAAACTAATTTTTATTGCAAACTTCTCCAAAAAAACCAATATCATCGCATCAAATATGGATTAAGAAGGAGTTCAGTTTTTTCAACTTCAAGCCGTTATCAACGTTCATCACAACATTCGTGTTCAAGAAGTTATACTTCTCACCATAAATCAAGACACCGCACTTGTTCAAGTCATTCAAGAATTAGATCCTCTTTGACTTTAAGCTCAGAACATTCTCACTCTAGAACTTCAGAGAAAAATAAAATACAGGATATGGATAGTAAGTCGGTATTATATTATACTATATAATAGATAATTATTATTATTATGCGCTAATTTTTTTTTTTTATGAATAATCTATTATTCGATATGGCTTGTTATACTACATAATCTATGTAATGTCTACTTTAATTATTACATGGCATCAAACTTTAAATCCAAGTTGATTCCTTAAGAGAATTATGTGAAATGTTGTTGAATAAGATAAAAAGCTATAAAGAAACGCAAGGACAATCAACTACCACCGCAACACCAGTTGAATCCTTCAATTTATTTTTCTAATCTAATAAATCTCGCAGCAAATATTATACAGATTCACCAGGCCTTGGCAGTAAAAGTCACAATGATTGTAGTAAAAGTCATATACCCAATTCTCTTGCTAGATGTAGTAATTCATATATTAGGAATGTTGTAAGTCGTAGTAGAAGTCATAAAAGAAGCAGGAGAAGTTGTGAAAGAAGCAGAAGTCGTAAAAGAAGCAGAAGTTATGAAAGAAGCAGTAGAAGTTATAGAATGAGTAGTGGAAGTAGTTATGAAAGGAGTGGTGGAAGTAGTTGTAGAAGGAGTCATAAAAGAAGCAGTAGAAATTATGAAAGAAGTAGAAGTTGTGAAAGAAGTAATAGAAGTCGTAGAAGAAGTGTCAGAAATAGTCATGGAAGAGGTGGCGGAAGTAGTAGTGGAAGGAGTTATAGAAGGAGTCAAAGAAGCAGTCAATCTAGTCCCTTTTCACACTATAATAACTTTTATATGGGTTGTAAAGAAAATAATATATCTAGTTTCTCTTCCTATTATAATTGTTTAAAATAATATTGTTTCACAATATAGCAACTCATATTTTTCTAGAAGTCGTAGTAACAGTCCTGTTGATGATAATTAGCCTGGACTATCTGTTTCTCCAAAACTACTTAATGGTTATAAAAATATACCACATATTGTTCTCAAACCAATAAATAAGAAATAATATAAACTTTTTCATATAAAAACAACAAAATTTTTTTTTCTAACATAACAATTATACTTACCAGATAACTATTATAATTTTTTAGAACAAAGTCCTTCAAATATATGCTGGTCTTGATCCTACTGTATCTTTTGATTTCTGTAAGAAGTGGACTGATATCAGCTACTGCGTATTCACAAAGACAATGCCTGTAATTAGTAGAGCACTAAAAAGAAGATTTCAGTTTACTGATATAGAACTACGACAAGTTTTACAAAACTATCATTGGCATCGATATGAATATTTAAAAATTATTCGGGATTCAAAGGCAGTTAAAGTCGAAAAAAGCAAAAAGGCATAAATTCAAGAAGAAAAGAAGTAAGTGTTATAATTTTTATGAGTATTATATTTACTGTAATTACTGTTTATTCTTTTATTTATATATTATAATTATAAAAAAAAGGTAGAAGGTATCGGGGATTAAACCATATTATTAAAACAGAAGACAAATTTTTCAAACAAATAAAACCAAGCTCCATTCAATTAGAAGACTTTGTTAATGATTTAAAAAAAAATCATAAATACTGGAGACTATCATTCAGACGAGGTTTTAGAGACTGATCAAGAACTAGCACACGATAAGGTTGTAAATGACAAGCGACTATTGCACATAAAAATAATCATATTTATCATGTATATAATAAAGCTTGGAGATCAAAATGGGTAAATTGTTATGACTAAAGCTTGTTTTAATAGTTTATTTACAGATTGTTTTATGCATTTTTATTAGATTCAAAAGATTTTACATTATATAAATGAAGTCAGTGAAAATATTTCACATGTGAAAAAAGTAAGAAAGCGCTAGTATAATTCTAAGAAATGGTCAGACACTTCAATACCTCCTGATGGTGCTTTTGAATAGACAATCTCTATTGATTATCATGCAGATGATGAGAATCAGCATAATACAGGTAAAATTACCAAATTTTTTTATATGACTAGTTCAAAACTAGAGATACAAACGGCTGATCAGCTCTATTGATTAATCAGTTTTTATTATACTGAATTTACAAGCTGTTTGAGCTATTTTTATTACTAAACTTAGAAATTTAAAAAATAATTAATGCCAATATTTAATGTTTGTAGATTATGACAATTGCATTAACAATCCTACTGATAACAATAATTAATCAAGAATTTTAGTTGGTAAGATTGATACTTTTGTTAATAATAATTTGAGATTGATTAGTAATAAAATTATAAACTAACAAATAATAATGATAAGCAATTAATTAATCATTTTATTTATTTCAAATAAACTTAACTTAATAATGAAATTACTGCTATTTTTGTAGAAAAAGACAGCATTAATAATAACCAACTTAATATTTTAACCAGAAACAATACTCAATTGAGGTCTCCTATTGACGTCTGATCAAAATTTCCTATTGATGTTTGATCAAGGTCTCATATTAATGATCGATCAAGGTCACCAGTTAGTATTTAATCAAGGTCGCCAATTAGCATTTGTTCAAGGTCTCCTGTTAGTGTTCAACCAAGTTCTTCAAAAATGCTTACTTGAATATCTCTACCTCTAAATCAAATAAGCCGTCAAAAATCTCTAATCTTAATCAACGTAATGATAAAAAGAGTAAAATTACAAATATCTTTTTAATTTTATGTATAATATTTGTATCTTTGATCTAACTAATGCAAGTAATATACTAGACGGTCAATAAATACTTCTATTGGAGAAAAAAGTATTTGGCAAAGGCCTCTCGCTTCTAATAATTATTATCTGAATGATGATGATTCTGAAAATGATTTGGCAATATAAATTTACTCAAAAGGAACTTCATTTGATATAATAGTTTCAAATAGACCAAAGCTATTGAGTAATTATACTTTTACTGTTTTTTATAAAGACTCTTATTTTAATGAAACAATAATATATTAAATTATAAAGTCTTTTGTAGTTTAATATATTATGATAGATTATAATATTTCAA